CGCCTGTAAAACCGATATCGTACTGGTTTTACTGCATCAGGTGCAATGTGTAACTGCTCGCCGATTAAAACCAACTTTGTGTAGTTTTGCGACTTTTAAGCTATTATTGATTGTCCCTAAAACAAGCCGGTGAACAGACACTTCCTCGTCTTATTTATCGGATTAAAAGAACAAATTTGCTTGGAGATTGGACTAGAAATCGAAAGAGTAGAAGAGTCAGAAGTGAGTTTTTTTACAGTAAATGTAAAGAGTTTTTAGTTTCCTCATCGGTTCCTCGACCACATTGATTAAAATTTTCTTCTGAATCCCCAACTCCCTTCCAAAGATTTTTTCACTTTTTGGCTGCAGGTACTTTTTTTTAATCTTACCGACGCGTTTTCTAGCTTTTTACTTTGAACGATGCTTAAACGGTTTACTGCCGTGCGGGGGCATGCATTTTTATCGCCAGGAATGATGTATTAAGAACCCCAAACAATGAAATTTTTTTCTTTTCTTTCTTTCAGTTGTATTGCCGTGTTTAGGCGTATCGCAGAATATACTTGAAGCATCAATTGCAATTAATAAAGCAATTTAAAAATTGCTTTGTATTGTTTCCTCTGCTCCATTTACTAATATGAGCCAAAGTTTTACTAAGCAATTTGCGTTTTATTTATTATTCTTATCATCTCTTTCGCAGCTTTTTTTATAAAAACATTGAGGGAACTGAAAAGATTTTTAGTTCAGAAAAAAAACTTCACCCGAGTAGAACTAAAAGAATTTTTAAATTTCTTGGTGCTGACTGCTGATTACCGTATTGCGGATTCTGGCAGGATTTGGTCGGAAAGTCGGGAAAAGCTACTGCTATATTCCGTATCCCTGATACGGTGGTGAAAAAGAAGTCGCTGCTTAAACTGTTTTTTCAGGTCTCGTGAATTCTTTTTAATTGTGTCCTTTTATAGACTTTCAAGAATTGCTGAGTTTTTAAAGAACGAATTTTTTGACATGTCTTTTTTAATTGGAGACTTAGCAATCAAACTTCTTATTGCTGGTGGGTGTTTTATCTGCTTCACCGTCGCTGAGCTACATAAGGACCATGAGTTCTTTTTATCATGTTGTGTGTGGGGTTAACAATGAACGCCTTTTTTTGCTACGAGGGTTAATACTCACTTTTTAAACAGGTGTTAGAAAACAAAGTTGATAGTACCTGTCATCTCTCAGGATTGCATGACCGTTACGTAGAACTCGTACGCGTGGGAGAGGGTATCCGGAGACTTGGCATTTTAATTCAATAAAACCTGCTGCTTTTCTTAAGAGCCTGAAAGGTTTAACGAAAACTGGTGCTCTGTAGACGGAATCGCGATCTTCTGTTCTGAACCAAGTATGTGTCATTTTTTCACTTTTTACACCTGTAACATCGACCACCATTTTATGATATATTACGTTTGTTTTATACACCATTGCCAATATTTGATCGCTCGCAGTATCCTTTGAAACTATAATATACACTGTTATTTCCTCCGTGTTATCCCTTCTACTCACAAATGCTTCTTCAATAGTTATTGTAACGTCCTTTAATTTCTTCGGGTAAATTGGTCGTTCAGACTCTACGCCAATCAATTTTTCACTTTCGGTCAAGCGAGTTATTTCTCCGTGATTTTTGTAAATACGATTCTTATATTTTTCAATATCTGACCCTCGAACTACTTTGAAACTCTTCTCCACTATTCGAGTGTAGTAGCGCGTTCGAACTTTCTTTTCCTCAATGACAACTACAATCGTTTCATTTTTACTCTCTTTCCTAAGTCTAATTTCTTGATCAGACAAGGTTCTTGCGGTCATTAAATACCTCCTGAGTGTTATTGAAATTGCTTCTGCTTCAATAAAGATATAGACGCTACTGTTTTTAAAGGTAGCGTTGCAGAATACTTCTTCTTGCTGTAGGCTACTGAACATACTACTCATAGCATTGCTTATGGTAGTTCTAGCAACTTCTTCCGCCGCAGCAATTAGCGACTGCTTGACCTCTTTCGTACGCTCCTCTTCGGATTTAATGGTGGTAACTTCATTAATTCCTTTTTCACTTTTCTTCAATTCAAAATTGAGATAAATTTCTGTATCAGTCTGTGTTTCCTGGAATAATTCGTCAGCTATATGCTCGTCACTTTCTTTGATTGTCACGTAGCTTGAGGTTGTTGTTGCCCCTACTACATTTGTTGCTTCACAAGTGTAGGATGCAGATTTTTCGGCTTTTCCAATGGTTAATATTGCAATACCGTCTTCGAATACGGCTTTTAGCTCCCTTAAAAAAAGTAATATTTTTTATATCTAAAATGACAATAATGAATGCTGAAATAACAATAACAATAACAATAACAATAATAATAATAATAATAATAATAATAATAATAATAATATTATAATAATAATAATAATATTATAATAATAATAATAATAATAATAATAATAATAATAGTACTGATGATGACAATTAGTAAAAGTAATAAAAATATTGGTTCAGTTATGTTTATGTTAACAACAGTAACATAGACGAACTCTGTGGTATTATGTCCTAATGATTTTGAATGTTAATACATCAATTTTTGTTACATTGAGAAAATATCGGTAACTTACTTTAAATCGGTTGCTACTGGTTTGCCGTCGATATACCACTTCACAACTGGCAAGGGATTTCCGGTGATAATGCACTTAAGACGAACTGTTTCGTTCTTCACAGCAACAATATCGTTTAAAGCTTGAATAAAATGTGGAGCTTCGAGAGATTCAGCTGTTGAATCGTAGTACTCGTCTTGTAAGTCCACATAAAGTACTTTTTGTGACACTTTCCCTAAACAGAGGGGTTATAAAAAATTATAATTTTTTATTTTTGTCGAATTAGTGCTTGTTTAAAATCGTTTGTACACTTGGTGCAGAAATCTTTTACCCCTTATTTTAGGATGTTCGTGAAGTATACATGTGATAGGAGGGTATTGTTCGACATTAGTAATATCAAAGCCCAAGTAACATTCTTCGTAAAGGACTGCAGAAGCTGTTACTTCTAACTGAGCTAATTGTACATAAGGGAAGTATCTAGTAGTATCAAGGTTTTCTTCTCTGAAAAACAACATGGAGCAGTCCGTTATTTCCGTAGCGGTTTGCACAAGTTGTTTGAAGAGTGCTTCGTTCACTGCCATCTTTGCTATTGTTTCTGTAAATCCTTTCTGCCCCCGACTCAGATTGTTCTTGAGCACAAAATTGGAATACTGTTCCTCTAAAGTAACTGACGATGCATTCAAGTGAGATACCGCGCTGTTTTTCAGGATTACAGTGCACTCTGTTGTACGGTTCTCATCTTTTTGTAAAACTTCAACGTCAATTCGCGTCGATTCTGTGGAGGTAAAAAGTTGTTCCGAAGTCGAATGTGGGACAGCTTTTGTAAAGCTTGTTCCCATGTGGTATGACGCTTTATGTAGGCCAATGAATTCTTCTGCGATGCATAACCTCTGAGAGTCGAATATCGTGTAAACTGATGAAATGACTTCATCAGTAGGTGTTGGAGCCACGAGCAAAACGTCATAGCTTTCCGTTATTTCCTTGCTTTCTTCCTTAATTGGACCTGGAACAAAAATGTACTGTTTCAAAACTGTCACTTTATCAAAAAAAAGTTAGGGAGCAGGTGTCATTTTTTTACCAGGTAAATTGATTACTCAGAATTTCTTAATGAGCTCTAGCGTTACGATTATGCCGTAAATGAGAGCTTTTCAGATGAGTGGGTGCTGAGAATTCCAGAGGAGCGGTTTCGCGTAATTCGCTTTGATATCTTCCATCACTACTTTATGGAAATTTTGGACAGAAATGCCAACACGAGGAAGGTGTTGAAGGTCTATGCTGATTTCTTAACTAAAAAATGGAGTAGCTTTCATTGAAGAGTATTGGCATAAAAGCCTTTATAATGACGCATCACTCTGTAGGTAAGAGCATTAATGGTGGAGGACGTAGGATGACCCGTTCGCTAGCAGTTTTGCGAGAGTTTTTGATTTGTCGATGCCCGGGTCATTGTAGGCAGAAATAGGCTATGTACTACCAATTAATGTTGAAGTAGAGTACACTTAGATATGCCTGCTCAGAAACTGGTTCTGTAAATAATCTTTGTATTCCGTCTCTAAAATCATTCCTTGGCTTAGCTTCCCTCCATTGAACGAAGACGGGGAAATAAGATACCACAGTGTCGTATACTTTTGAAACATCTTTTGCATGAACGCCTTCAACTGTTGTTTCGAAATCCCAAAGGTATGTCTTCATCAATTTTGAGTGCTACTGGCTAATTGACTTCCGCGCGGACTTTTTTACAACTGAGACTAAGAAAATTTCGTGGTGTTGAGCATAATGTTGCTGTAGGAACTATTGTTATGGTTATTGGTATTATCATAAAAAATGAAGTAGAAAATTGCCTTTAGTCAAATCAAATATTACGTTTTTTTTTTCTGTAAAAGAATTCAGATGTTTCCAATTTTTTGCTTAAAAATCGATGCTTCTTAAAATTGAGCAATTAATACAACCTTACCGGTTTGCCGCTTCACAAGACGGTCCTGCACATGTCATATTGCCATTTCTTTATCATGAAAGTCAGGTATGATTTCACAAAAAACTCAACAATTTTGACCAAGAAGTTGCGGAAATTAAAGTGGCCGAGTTCAGACTAGATTGATTAAAGAAGAAAAGTAAGTGTTTTCTGAGACAACATGATTATTTTTCCAAATTTAGAACGAAATTGCCGTTGTACCAGAAAGACTAAAGTTTCAAGGATTTTCATAGTGGGATAAAAGATAGGGTTGCTCGAGTAACAAATAGCCTGATAATGCTATAATAAAGTGTTGGGGACTATGAGGAACAAAGTTTTTTTATAAAGTAGAGTACTAAACATCTATACTGGTTTTCCGTGTTCACTGTCAAAATGCTCGGCAAACGTTTGAACTGAAAACTTAGAAAGCGGGAAATGTTCATGCAAAATAAAGTAAAGACTGTCACACGTTATGAAGTGAACTGCTTGAAATACGCTTCATCGGTAAGGCGGCGTACGTCGATGTACTATTATTTACAATAACATGCGCAACCTTAAATTCAACAGAATCAATGCAAACACTGTAGCAAGCAGAATCGTCAGGTTGAGCATCTCGAATAACGAGATAGTGTTTCAAGCCGTTCACAACATGTTCGATACGTGGATTCCCATCGTAATTTATTGTTTCTCCATCACGTTTCCAGTTGAGCTCTCGAACACGATCGCTGTCCTCGAGTTCGCAAGCAATTGTTGCGGTACATCCCTCAGGAACAATATATTCCTGATACTCGTCATCGTCGCTTTCGGTTCCGGATGCAGTTACAGTAACTTCTCTTTCTTGTGATGGTTCTAAGTTAGTAGCAAATAAGTTCGTAAGACTGAAGCGCTTATCAAAAATCAAACTTTTAATGCAACTGATAAAATTCATAATTGCAAAAATTCTAAAAGTTGGTTGGCGTGACTGCCACTAAAAGTGTTTTCTCTAAACATTTGGTAAAATGAATTTTCTAGGAACCGAAAGATACGTATCAAATCATTTATAACGTTAAATCTTTCATTTCGACTGTAATAAATTAACGCATATGTTATCGTTTCTTTAGCGAAGATGTGATTGCAAACCTTCAACAACCAGTGTTACTGTAGAAACTTGCTTGCCGTACCGAGCGCAGTATGTACCTTGATCTTCAATAGTAGTGTTGCTTATATGAACTCCGTAGAAACCATTAGGATCAGAAGTCAATTTTATTCTCTCACTTGCCTGGATAACACGCTCCCCTTTAGTCCAAATTAAAGACTGTCCTGGACCCGAAAGTTGACAAGTAAGCACCGCAGGCTGCCCTTCCATAACGAAGAGGGTTTGGGGAGGGTTTAAAAATTTAATGCTTTCTTTCCCTCCAATTTCTTCTTCGACTATCAGGCAGGCTACAGGGTACAACCTGTCATTTACAAGGATATTATAAATGTCGCTGTCCTCTAAATTTATCTGAGAGATAACGAGGACCTCAACCAAGTTGTGGCTTATGCGATCTATTTTTCCTGGTTTAAACTCGATCTGCTTTTGCCCTTTGTACCAAATAACTTCAGTGCTTGTTAGGCTATTCAGTTCACATGTTATTGTGGCAGTAGATCCTTCTTTGAGGATGTATGTTGGTACATTAAGACTTTCGATGCTGTCTGAGAACAGGTTCCGATCTCCATATGACAGAGTTCCTTGAGAAACGTGAGACGATTCTAACGATTGAAGTGATTTTTTTTCACATTCCGTGCCTTCTGATACCGACAAATTTTGAATCAGTGGTTGAAAAGACATGTTAACGAAACCCAAAGTTTGGTCGGAATTAGATGGCGAACAAGAAATGTTCATCTTAACAGAACCCCAAGCAATTTCTTCAAGAGAAGCGTAAGCAGCCTCACTGGCATTTCTGGCGCTTATTGTCACAGAAACAGATTTGCTCTCCTTCTTTGGATCCACAGCCTCACCGGTCCTACCAAACAGTGCTTTCGGTTGCTTTTTATGGAATTCCTCAGGATTCTCGGAGTGCAAAATCGTAGGGAAAGTAGCGCCTGCAATTGTCAAATGGCATTCGCTTAAATTACATGTAGCACCGTCCTCCGCGCTTTTTAGCATAATAAAGGCACAACTCTGAGTGTCTTCAGCCTGTTCAATAGCAACCTCGTATTCGGTTTTTTCTACAGAAGACTCCAGCTTTTCTTTCAGCTCTGGCACCAATTTTGCATCGACTTTAAATTTTTGAGGCCTACGTTTCCATTTGAAATTAAGGAATAACTCTTCATACGACTGGCGTTGAGACGTTTCACCTCCATTTTTGTAATCATTTGCCAACATTTCATCACTTTTTTTTTGCTCCTCACCAAACGCGTCTAATTCTGGTTCACTCAACTCTTTGCTGTTACTGTTCCTCTCTCTCCTCAAATTCACTTCTTGAAGATCACGATCGAAGAAGCATTTATGTCCTCCAACATTACATCCACAATTGTCGGTTTCAGAAAAGTGTGCTTTCCTGGGAAATTCATCAGTTTTTCTTAAAATTGGCTTACCTATGGTCGTTTCTATCTTTTCAAACACAGAAGTTTTTTTGAAATGAGCAATCACGTAGGGCGCCTCATTGAAATCACTTTTTGCGACATCACTGGAAAGAACAGCTTCCAACTGCATTGATTCTTCAAAGTAAGGAAGGAAATCAGGCGGAAGGCTCAGTTTTCCTTGTGGACTGGTAGCGCCGACAGTGTGACATGTTTCGGTTGGCCGCAACTGATCATCAAAATGACGTGATACTGCTTCGCCCACATCATTTTTCGCTGGAGGTTTATATTCAAAATCTTCTGGAGATCCTCTTCTCGCTACCCTCCTAAAGCACATGAACTTTCGCAATATCGAATTCTGTTGTATTTTATCGTGACCTCCACCATTTGTTGCATCTAAAACGGGTATAAGAATTTCTCCAGTTTTATTCTTCGTTTGAGAATTATTTGAGTCAACTGCCTTAAATTTCCCACGTCCTTTACAAAAAGTCGATCCTTTACAACACTTTATTTTTATCTCTGCAAACATACGCTCAGGTTTTCGGTGCAAATTGAAATTAATGGAAGCATCTGCACTTTCGAAATAACCTGTTTTTGAGTAGATTCTTGGAGAGTTTTTGCTTGGAGATTTAGAACGAAGCCGCTTTTTACCATGTTTGATAGACTCGACTACAGAACTGATCTGAACTTTTAATTTCGATAAAATATTTGGAGCGTTTTCTTGCAATTGTTGGTGAGGACCGAGTTCTTTAGCCTGACTTTTGGTATCCAACAGCTCTACTTCTACATTAGGGGATACTGATTCCAACTCTCTCTCAACCGCATTGTTTTGTAGATCAATCGGCTTAGTGTTTTCCTTTTCCAGTGACCACATTTCGGGAGCCAAGATCTGGTCTTCATTATTAGATTTTAAAACTGTATCCGCTACATTACTCTCCAGTAACCCAGTTTTTTTGTTCAAGTCCTCTTCGCAGACACTCTTTTCTTCTCTGTCCTTCCTACTAGTATGATTACTAATTTCCAGAAATTTGGAGCACTGTATGAATCTGCCAGTATCCATCCAAGATATAAGATTTTCTCTAATCTTATTCGGAACGTCATTCGGCTGCAATATCGTGTCATCCGCTGGGTGCTCTTGCCTTTCCTGCTGGTACTGCGTAATTGCGTTTTCTAAAGTAGCTTTCAAAAGTTCTTCATTTAATTCGGCATGCGCGTTACTGACTGGTTCCTGCTTTAAAATTTTTTCAGATACTTCAAAAATTGCTCGCTCAATTTCAGAAACATCATCGAGTAAAGTTGGCAAGCTCCTAGCAAAATCACTCGAGTTATATAAGCTCTTCCACTCTTCCCTGGACTCATCCTTCCCGTCTAAAAAGGTAGGATAAATAACAGAACTGCTTCGCAATATTTCTGTTTCAAACATGTCTCCTTGCACCTTTTGTTGCTTCAGAGGCAACCCCTCTTCCGAATACTCTGAAGAATCAAAGCTGTTAAGTGAATTTAAGTGTTTTACATTGTACCTCTTGCTGCGAGTAGTTTTGAAGGCTTTTGCGTCCTGCTCAATGATCCTCTTTTTTAAACCAAAAAGTTTTGGACTTTCAGGTAAAGCGCATTCTGCGCTTAAGAAAATACGGCCTTTGTTCAGACAATAAGTCCCGTAGAAGGTCTTTTCCCCTGGTGTAAAGCATTGAAGTACTTTGCTTTCAATATCTCTCACTTTGCCCTGATTTTCAAAAATCACTGAAAAATAAGAAAATGCTTGCGGTTCCCGGCTCAAAAAGTACGTTTGAGATACTTGAGCCCGAGGTGGCGACAACTCATTTAAAAAACTTTTCTTTTCTTTCTCTCTATCGTTTTCTACTGTATTGTGGAGCGTGAAGGAACTCTTCAGTTCATGTAAACTTTCAGGGTTTGTCACGCCGCTTAACGTCATGGTTTTGAGAGGGTTAGTCCAGAAGCAGTCAGTCTCGATATGTGAAGGTGGTTTGTGTAAAAGAGTATAAAAAGTTATTTCTTCGTCAACGCCAATACTCCTTTCACCAACGACGTTTTCAGCAGCAGAACCTTCTTCAACTTTCTTTACTAGAAACACGACACATGGTGATTTTCCCCAAAATGAAACACACTTGGAATCTTTGCAGTCAAGATCTTTTTTGTAAGTTAAAAGGGATTCTTTATGATCCTTTACAGGAAAGTTAATATCACTTATCCACTGGATCCCTTCGGAATTCATACAAACAACACCTCCTGCCGTTGCGTCTCTCTTATTCAATTTTAGTCGCATTGAAACCTCCTCGTTGGCCTCGGCTAAAACGGTTGAACTTATTTTAGCAAAGCTGTTTTGTAAATGGCATGTAGGAAAGTTGGGTTTACGTAAGGAATTTAGTTCAGCAAATAAAACAGACGAAGACAATCATGCTGGCAACGAGAAGCGAAAAACAACTAAACTAAGCAATGAATGCGTTAAATCGAAATTGCAAATGGGTCATGAAACGTTAACAAAACAACACAAAAGACTTTTTCAGCAGTAGTTATGTAAATCTCTACATACTGAAGGCATATTCAAACACTGTTAATCTTGCCGAAACGAGAGTTTTCTCTTCGTCAACCCAATGGTTTAAAACCATCATCAGCGGAAGTTTTTCTTCAACAAAAAAGTCATTTTGAAACCTTTCAATATAATGTATTCGACCAGTTCTGAGCAGCATATTAAAAGTTTCTTTGAAAGTAAAAAAAAGCTTACTGGTCGTAGTAAGGAAGCACTTCGTAAACGCTTTTCCAGCCTCATTAGTTGCTTCACACGTGTACTCTCCTTCATCTTCCGCAATAATCTGCTTTATGCGTAATAAACAAACTCCATCTTCATACACTGTTTCATAAGCGCTAAAAAATTCAAATAAGTGTTACCATGATTACGAAAAAGTCAAGATTACTACCTTAAAAATTTAGGAAAAAAAAAGAACAAGAAAACAGTATGCTTGCCGACGCCTAAAACTCTAATGACTGCTACACTTTTAAACGTTCAAAACTTTACAAAGCTAAACAAATTTTTCTTTTCTAAAAGTGATCAATTTAGATAAACAGTTTCCTAAAAAATAAACTCATAAACAAAGTTCCAGATTTTTTTTTGACTAACTTTAACGTGTCCTCCCTAGCAGTTTCTTACCAAAGGTTGCTTGCGCTTTAATTCTGTCAAAAAATTAACTAATTATCTCATTTGAAAAATGAAAAATCAATTTGTCGCTGCAACAGCAATAGAAAACAAGTCACGAGTCCGGTTTTTACAATGCTTACTTAAAACCTTTACAGGGGCTTAGAAAATGTGATAAACAGCCAAACATGCTAAACAACAAGGCAAAAAAAAATAAAACTTACTCAGTGTTATGAATCTCATCTCCATCCACATACCATTTAATTTCTGGCGCTGGAACTCCACTTACAATGCATTTGAATTGATGCTGTTCACCTGTTGTTACGGAAGCATTTTCTAACTTTTTGACGAAATATGGTGGCTGCAGTAAGGCACCTAAAAAATTTAAAAGGTAACTCCTTTTAGTGCCGTCAAAAAAAAAAAAGAATTTATATAATGACAAAGCACAATACACACTGAAAGAAGAAGATTCCGAAATGGAAAAGGATTTTTCCATTGATTTTGCAAGCTCGGTTCTGATAATACGTAGCCTTGCGGTTGCAGTTCTCGATGTTCCTAATTTAACGTTCAGTCCGGATTTCTAAAAATTTAGAAGTCAGAATGATAAAACAGCTATAACAAACGGGTCTCTAGAACTACACGAATACCTTGTTTGGACATACTGCATCTATTTCAACATATGCATTTGCTACCCTTGTTTCAGCTTTCTCCTCAACAATTTCTGTTTTTACCACTTTTTCCACTGCTCTTCCCGCAAATTCTTCCGCCTGAAACGTTATTTTTACACCAGCGACTCGAAACTACTAATCGCTATTGAGTTGATATTACTATATGTTCATATGTTTACCAGCAGAGGTTTCCCAAGTAAAGCAACATTGAATACAGAGTAGTCGTAATAACAATTTTCAATACTTATAGTAACAGTTTGGTGAGCATTAATGCTTCTCTTTTTCAAATGCACGGTAGTAATGGTAGCCTAAAAAATATTAGTTCAAAATTCATACACCTTCAAATATTACTAAAGAACAGCTACTAGTTTTTTTTGCGTGTGATTTTTACCTCATTTATTGATTCCACTGCAATACACGAAAGCTGTCGAGACTCTTTTGGTACTCCAACAACCAATGTAGTCACATTCTCCAAACTTGGTGTTTTCCATATCTCGGTAACTAGGCTGCAAACTACATCACCACTTTTCGTAGCTTCATTCCTTATCTGTAATAAACTTGAAGCACTGTTATCAGTTAAACAACAACAGAGCTTAATACTTCTGCTGAGAGGTATTTTAAAAAGGGAGCTATAGAATGATAGACAGATAAGTAACTACGACAGTTTTTCTTGTTTTACTCCCAAGAAACTGCCAATATTTTGAACACAGCTTACATACTTTACAACAGCGTCTATTAAATAATTCTTTCCTTTACGCGAAAAATAAACATCAATAAAATAATCGTTAATAAACAAAAGTGATAACAACAAATTTCACAACAAATCAGTATTACAGTAGCAGTTCCTACAAGAAAAAAATAATAAATCCAAAAGAATCAAGATATGATGCAAACCTTTTTGATGTTCAAAGTTACAGATTCCGATATAGTTGTTGTCGGTTCCTCTAAAATGTAAAGTTTTTGCTTCACTACAGCTTCGCTAAGTCCTTTCCTGTACTGTGTAACAGTGGTGGCCCCCTGTGTTTCTGGCCGGTGTATACGAACATCTACCGTTACTATCTTTTCTGCAACTATTGCAGCTGCAACCAAATTCACAGTAAATTTAATCGTTTCTGGTTCAAACACTGTTGTGGTATGCACAAAATGTGATGACGGCTTCCTTACAACCACACCGGCCTCCACCAGAGATTCCCTTTCGCCCTACAAACGACAATACAATACAGATAAAAGAGCACAACCGAAGAAACATTCTTAGAACTGCGAAAGGTAATTAAGAACTGTTACATTACCTTTACAGCCAAAATTGAATCCCTAGCTTCATCTTCATCCACAGCATATGGTATTTCGATTGTCTCTTGAGTAAGTAAATCAGCTACGCCGGAAGCAATCTGAATTGATTAACTTAGGCATTAAAATGATTTTTTCATTAGAATAGCCTTCGATACTGCTTCAAGCAATAGAACACTTTTTATTCAAAAGTAGTGCTGAAGACGAACAGACTTGTTTTGCTTGCATGAACGATCATGTTACTGAAGCATGACAAGGAGATTTGGAATTTACTAAATGTATTCACATGTAAAAAAGAATTAAAAATAACTACTTCTTCTGCATATGAATCAATGTACAAATCTGCAGTATGAACAGACTTACCTGTATATCTCTAAAAACAATCTGACTTTCAGACTTTTCAGCATCCTTCTCCAGTATTACTGTAACGTTGAGTTTTTCAAAACTCTCAATCTCTTTCCTTTCTTTTCTTAAAATGCTGATGTTTGACGGTTGTAAAACTTCTTCATGGCGCGTTATATGAGATGCCTTGTCGAATAAACAAATATGCGCGTCTTCAGTGCAGAAAATTTTGACTGTGTTTGTAAAACGTGGTTCTTGCTTTCGAATATTAACGTTTAGATTGACCTCCTTTTCCACTTCGGCGGTAAGACGCGCATAATTCTCAACAGTTTCTGTTAGGTACGTGCATATCGATTCTGGCGTAACAATGACTGAGTCATCTTGAACCTTACTGGTTGATGCTTTACAAACGTAACCTAATTTTTTCATTTCTGGTTCGAAAATTATGGCCAACGTTTCAAACAGTTCTTTTGGCCGTCTAACTTCGATTTGCGACATCATTTCAGCTTCAGTTTTCTTAAACGCATGTACAGATTTCCTACGCGAAGGTACATTCACAGTATTTGCTGCCACTAAAACGTATATATTACAAAACCATTTACAGAAAACCGTTAAAGTAAAAATTTTATTCTGAAAATTTATTTAAATGAAATAAGACTAATATTTCCAACTAATCCTCATACTAAGACAGATTTAAAGTTTTGACCAAAAAAATTTTAATAAAACTAATTTACTGTACTATCAACTCTAAATATGCTCATTT